TCATTGAATAGCCACATTGCCATTAATACCTGAACAACCACAATAATAACAAATTTAATATCTATTTTCAGACATTAATGGAGCCCATCATCCAACAACTATCAAAATTATTTATACTAGATTTAAATACTCTAAACAACTCTCTTTAACTCCATTTGATCAATGGGTTCATATCCATACCCCATATGGACTGAAATCACCATCCTCATCTAAACCTTAACTTAAATCCTTGAGAAAATGAAAGAAGAAAGGAGAAAAATAGTTTAGAAATCTTACCTTTGATGATTTAAAGCTTCAAACCTTCTCAAATTCTCATCTAAGTCGTGCCTTAGCAGAATATTGGCGTGTTTCTCCATTTTCTCTTTTCTCTTTTTTGTCTTAGGTTCACATCTAATAAATTACAGAAAATGGCCATGTGCCGCGGAAGATGCAAAATGCATCATGGCGTATGGCACAAAGAGATTCTCCTAACATTTAAAGTGTCTGTGTGTCGTAGCATATGGCACAACAACATCACTCTTCATTTTTCTTCAACTTTTGATGCTCAGGTGGCCCGCCTTGATATCAAACCCACAAGTAAGGTTAAAATACAATCAAATATGATTATTAGACCTCCATGGCCACACACCACTTTAACTTACTTAATTACCCTAAGTAGTTTTAATTAATTAGGGGATTAAAACTTGGGATGTTACACCTTACTATTAAACTCAATTTGACCTAATTCAGGCTTAATTAGTTTAGTTTAAAATCAAGGATGTTACATAAATAAAATATTAATATAATACCATAATCTCATAGTGCAAGTAAGCTAAAAACATGAATTTCCCTCACTGGCAATATCATGCAAGATTATGCACATTAATAATCAAAAAGAAAAATGAGGCCTATAAATAGGATAGTAATCCTATACCTCAGATTATTTTCCCTCTATCTTCTGACCTGTTGAGCTAGCTCCTGTATATTGAAGAAAAGGAGTGATTATTTCCCTCAGATTATAGTTGATTAATATCCCTTTTTAGATAATGTTCACTATTTAATCAAACACTTCTCCACTTTTAAGATTCAATCCCTTCACATATAAGGGTTTCTTAACTTACGCTAACTCTCATTAATTTTATTGGACTCTCAATTAGCTATTAATGAAGCCATATTGCCCTAATTATCACATTTATGGTGGGGTTTTCCGATATTTATTATCCCACAACTATCAAAACTCATAATACCATAAGTTACAAGTGTTAGTAGCTTAAACAATTCTCATTATACTCTATTTAAGTTAATGGTTTATGACTCAAAGCCTTATGGACCAAAAATCATCTTTTTCAACTAAACTTTAACATTCAAATTCAAGAAAAATAGAAGAGGAAGAGAGATTTAAGTTTAAGGAACTTACCTCTAGTGTTTAAAAGCTTTAAATACTCTTAATACTTCCAAACCTTAAGCCTAGTAGAGCTCTTTTGCTTTTTCTGTGTTTCCCTTTTTTTCCTCTCTAATTTTTGTTTGTTTTTACATCTTATTTTGACATATTTGTCATCATGCACCATGGCGCCTATACCACTCGCCGCGACAAGTGGTATGGAGAGATCGCTCTCGCCTTTTGTTGGCTTTGTGTGTTATGGTATGCCATGCAAGCACCATGGCATATGGCACAAAGTCATTTCTCTTTGTTTTTTCTTACTTCTTCATGCTCAGGTTGACCCGATCTCACTTCAGACTCAATTCTAAGGCTAAAATCACAACCCATTGATACCCATTAACTCTCTGTAACCACGCATCATATTAATTTACTTTAATCCTCATTTATCGTGCCTTAGCAGAATATGGCGCGTCTCTCCATTTCGCTCTCTTTTCTTTTTTGTCTCAGATTCACATCTAATAAATTACAGAAATAGCCATGTGCCGCGGAAGATGCAAAATGCATCATGGCGTATGTCATAAAGAGATCCCTCCTAAATTTAAAGTGTCTATGTGTTGTAGCATATGGCACAACAACATCACTCTTCATTTTTTTTTCAACTTTTGATACTCAGGTGGCCCGCCTTGATATCAAACCCACAAGTAAGGCTAAAATACAATCAAATATGATTATTAGACCTCCCTGGTCACACACCACTTTAACTTACTTAATTACCTTAAGTAGTTTTAATTAATTAGGGGATTAAAACTTGGGATGTTACACCTTACTATTAAACTCAATTTGACCTAATTCAGGCTTAATTAGTTTAGTTTAAAATCAAGGATGTTACATAAAATACTTAATATAATACCACATCTCATAGTGCAAGTAAGCCAAAAACATGAATTTCCCTTACTGGCAATATATGCAAGATTATACACATTAATAATCAAAAAGAAATGAGGCCTATAAATAGGATAGTAATCCTATACCTCAGATTATTTCCCTCTATCTTGACCTGTTGAGCTAGCTCCTGTAATATTGAAGAGAAAGGAGTGATTATTTCCCTCAGATTATAGTTGGTTAATATCCCTTTATAGATAATGTTCACTATTTAATCAAACACTTCTTCACTCTTAAGATTCAATCCTTCACATATAAGGATTTCTTAGCTTATTCTAACTCTCATTAATTTATTGGACGCTTAATTAGCTATTAATGAAGCCATATTGCCCTAACTATCACATTTATGATGGGGCTTTTCGATATTTATTATCCCACAACTATCAAAACTCACAATACCATAAGTTACAAGTGTAGTAGCTTAAACAATTCTCATTATATCTATTTAAGTTAAGGGTTATGACTCAAAGCCTTTGTGGACCAAAAATAATCTTTTTCAACTAAACTTAACTTTCAAATTCAAGAAAAATAGAAGAGGAAGAGAGATTTAAGTTTAAGGAACTTACCTCTAGTATTTAGAAGTTTTAAATACTCTTAATGCTTCCAAACCTTAGCCCTAGTAGAGCTATTTTGCTTTTTCTTTGTTTCCCTTTTGTTTCCTCTCTACTTTTTATTTGTTTTTACATCTTATTTTGACATATTTGTCATCATACACCATGGCGCCTATACCACTCGCCGCGATAAGTGGTATGGAGAGATCGCTCTCGCCTTTTGGTGGCTTTTGTGTTGTGGTATGCCATGTAAGCACCATGGCATATGGCACAAAGCCCTTTCTCTTTGTTTTTTCCTACTTCTTCATGCTCAGGTGAGCCGATCTTCACTTCAGACTCAATCTAAAGCTGAAATCACAACCCATGATACCCATTAACTCTCTGTCCAACACATCATATTAATTTACTTTAATCCTCATTTATTCAACTAATTCGGGGTTAAATTCTCCAGGATGTTACGCTTGGCCTTTGCACACTCGACACCTTCATGGTTTGGGTCAACTTTAGAGAGCTGGTATTGACTAAGTGAGTTTGGAATCAATAAGTAAGGCATTTTACCCACAATTTTGGATTCAGGCAAAGAAGATGAGTTCAAGGACTTGAACGATTGAATGAGTACCACATGTGAGAGGGGGACATTGAGAGAGAGAGAGATAGAGAGAGAAAGGGAGAGAGAGGATAGGATGTTAGAGGCACATATGTGGCCACCACTAAAAGTAACATATGTTTAGTCCAGATTGATGGCAAGGCTAAATTGCCCTGAATGTAATTGTTCAAGGTTGACACCGAAGATGAGTTTAAGGTTCAAATTGCTTTTGAGCTTATAGTTTATAATTCAAATTGCCATTTAACACATATATTAAAAGGACCTACAGGTTAGGGGGGCCATAGCCCCCTCCACTATACACTTGAGTCTGCCTTTGCTTGGATTGTGCAAGTCATGAGCACATGTTAGCCGCTTCATTGCTTTTAAACATCAAGTTAACGTAAGGAGAAATATTTATAAGGAAGATAATTCTGAGGCTTTAATTAAAAAAACTTGTAAGGACCTAATTAAAAACTATGTACAAGGATAAGGATTGGCGAATTAGCTTTAAAAATAATTATAAATATAAATATATTAAAATTACTGTACAGGACCAAACCAAACTAAGGCTTGACACCTCAATCTCCTATTCAGTTTAATTCAAAAATAAAATATGATCCTTTTAGTCCATTTTTTTTAAACCAGATTGGATTAAATTTGTTTGGATTGGACAAAATTGGGAAACCTTTTTGCAACCTACTTTCTGGGGAGTAGAAAGTTAGAAGTTCATGAAAAATTCAAGCAATCTTGTTCAATACTTATTGTCTAAAATAAAATAAATATGCTATTTTTTTATATTAAAAACATAAATATCATTGCTTCAGGCTTAGAGAGCTATATCATTTCATATTTATTTTTGAATGTCATCATTAAAAAGTCAGAAACAACAACATTCCAAATTTTACCCGGAGTTATATTTGGGGATTCAAGCAGCTGGCTTTCTACATCCCAAGAATCTATACATTTCTCTGAATCAAATTGAAGTTACCTACCTTCTGAAAAGTTTACATCTTCTGCCTCACTTTAGTGAAGCATGGATCAAAATAACACATTTCATATCATCTTAATTAAGCCTAAGAATAATAAGTCTAACATGGTTATATAGTCATACTCACAAAACAGCACATCTCACGTATTTCACGCGTAATTTGTTAGGATGTAAGCCCCATTACTTACCAAAAAAGAAAGAAGAACGACTAAGATGGCTTCAATTTAACCAAGTTGCAAAATTTAATAGGAAAACACCATAGCGTTGTATTTGTCAGGGGCCAGGGCACATTAAAAGCACATTCAGCAAAGCTACATGGACCAACACAAGTATCGGACGGCGAGAGGTCCGTGCAAAGGACTCCGTTTTTGTTTTTTAAATACTTTTCACATGGTAGAGAAATGAATCATTAGATGCGCCCGTGATTCGTAGCCCCGGATCCATCTCCAGATATACGAAAGCAGCCTTGTTCAAACAGAGCATTCAATCACATTGTTTACACAATTGGCGTTGCAAAAGCCATTAGCCTTCAATCAAGCCGCTCCATCTACAACATGGTTTAAAGAGAGTCAACTACGTTATATTGGTAATCGAAAGAGAAGACAGCGTCCCCATTCGGTCCACCAAGTGCTCATCAGGTTTGGAGCACTCGAGAGCATTCTGCTTTCCTTCAGCCATGATTGCCTAAGATCAGACAAATAAGAAATGTAGGCTAAAAGTCAACACAGCCAATAGAAAATGTTCATACACAACAATATCAACAAACTAGAGTAACATTGAGGCAATACCACAGGGGTTTCCGCTTCCACCCCCTCATCCAGGAGACCCCCAGGAGATGTGAGACCAGGGACACATTATATTGGCACCCGCCAAGACAAATTTATTGCACCTCGGTCAACTTGTAATTCTTCATTATATTAGGATCTGTAAATCAATAAAAAAAAAATAATGATACGCATCTGTGAGCATATTTAGTCTTTAGTCTCCCTCATCACTCTATAAAATGCTTTTGGTTGAAGCATTAAAAGTCAAATGATTTCTGAAAAATTACTAATCAACACCTGCAACATGGGGACTAAAGTTCTGAAAACAATGATTTTGTTCACACCCCACATCATCCTGCTCTCTCTCTCTCTCAAACACACACAAAATTAAAAATCCTCTTCCCTATGTCCATTCTTTAGCCGGACTTTAGCTCCAAGACTTAAACACTGTAATGACCTTAGAAATAATCACAGGACTAAAGGGCATGCAAAACACACAAATAGTAGGAAATACTTCAAAAGAAAACAGAGAAATCTAAGAAGTAAAACATCTGAATCTGACTGACCATGGAACCATGCGATCTTCCCAGAGTTCACTTCTGTCTTGTTCAGGATAACTGACTGAACTAGCAGATGTGAACACTACTATCCTACCACACAATAAAGACTCATAAGTCTAACAAGGGTTAACCTGGAAAGCTCCCACGTCCTACAAGAACAGAAGGCCCTAAGTCACCACATGTCAATCTGCCTTCTAACCTAGCCCACTCACACATAAGTCATGCTGGCCATCAGCCAGAAGCTGCTTCATTTTAATATACTCTTGGTCAGTATACCAGTTTCTGGAAGAGATATGAATTATAGAATGGTTTAAGCATGTCTCTATTATAGTGTACAAAAGAAATAGCATTGTTACAAGTTAAATTGTTAAAAAAATAAAAAGTTAGACATTACATTGATGGAGAAGTCGTAAGGTGGGCATGTATGGTCCATCACGGATACTGAAAAACAAGGGCACGTTGTTCACTAGAACCAGATTCAGATGGTTCTGACTACAAAACAAGGCAAGAAACAATTGGTTAACAACCACATGAGCAGTGATAAGAGGAAAAGTAGACTGAGGAAAACACAGAAAGAAAGTAATATTATCAGATATCACAAACCATTTAGCAACTATAAGAGGGGACTTCTTTGGAAGAATGTCATCTAACACTGGTTCAAGTCCTGGGTACTGCAAAAGAGTGATGAACGGATGATTAGATTATATGCAAAAAAAAAAAATAATACCCATGATAAAGCAAATGTGAACAAATTTCTGCAGCCAATGGTAACAGCACCTCTTCTGCAATACTCTGTCGTATTTTCCTTTGAACAGATGCCTTCACTTGGTTTTGTGCAGACACATCTTCTGATGAGAATCTGAATACTCATATATGTAAATATTTAGATTCAGAGTAGTTCATGGAAGAATTATTCATAACAAACAGTAGGTTATACCCATCAAGAAGAGCATCAGACAGGAAAATTTTAAAAAACAAAATAAAACACTGTGGATTGGGGCATGGCATATCCATCAGGGGGTCAGGAGAGGATATCGGTCTCTTCAAACAAGCTTAGAAATTCTGTTCAGCATAGGGATCTCATAGACTATGCTCATATCCTCAGCTTGTTACCCAATCCCTTTGGCAAACTAACCCCCTCCCCGAGAAATTCCTCGATTTTGGTACCACAGAATCCTCCCGACAAAGGAATTGCAAACTGGCACTCATTAGATACGGTCCGATTGTGTTCAAAACAAAATAGACGCGTTGCTGCACTCCCTCGGAACCATCTTAACAGACTTGGGAAAAAAAAAACATAGCGATGGAGACTAAGTGCCTCAAGTCTCGCTAAAGCAAGAACTGGAAAAAAAAGAAAACAAGAAACACACTGTCAGATACGAGAGAGGGGGAAGAATACTTTTTGAACATCTTTAATGGGAAGCAGGTCCAAGACGCTTTCCAAATGAAAAAAAAAGGTTCTATATGAAATCGAGGGTTCTAAGTACAAATGATCCAATTAGTGTGAGCTTGAGAGAAAATGAAGATGGTGGCGACTGAACAGAGATGCGTCCACTACTCTCGCCACCGGCGCACCAGAAGCCGCGTTGTCATTAAGCCTCATTTCCACAAGGCCCCCATCTTATTGGGCCTCCGACGACAACTTGATGCTGAGGTATGTTTGTCCGTTTTCTCAGGCTTCTACTATTAAAGTTTAAAACAGCCTCCTACATGAAGATCCCGTGTTTGGATCAAGGCCCATCGGGAGAATTTTGGGACAGCCTTCGGGATCTAAGGCTCAACAAACGACTGGGCGCGATCCCACTGTTTTTTGTCTTTTAATTAATTTTAATTAATAAGTAATCAATCTCTGCAGTGAAAGAATTTCAGCGCGTGATTGGGAAAGGTAAAAATTAGATTTAATCAGTTGCCCTATGTCAAGTATTATAAGCTAAAGGAATTATTGTAATTAGAAAGGTTTACAAACAGAAATCTATTTGAATCCATAGCCGATCAAATGATGGAGCATGTGGGGTAGGCCAAAACTTTATTTTCATAAAGTTGAATTGGAAAACAGTAAAAGGGGCATTTCATCCCTAAAGTAAACAGAAAGTTGGTCAATAAAACAAAAAAAAAAAAAAGACTTAAACATCATCCCTAGCCCAAAATAGGTTGGTTGGGTTAAAAATCAAGAGATTTAGTCCTCAGAAATTTGCATTGATAAATCTGTGTGAAGTTTTTCTTTTTCTGCTTAAAAAAAAAACAGAGAGAGAGAGTGTTTTAAATTTTATAAAAAATAATAAAAATGAGTAAAAATACTAGAAAATGAAAATTGCAAAAATATATTCTCCAATCTCAATGTCAGAAGATTTAAATCCTAAAATCAATTATATCAACCGGCCTCACAAGCAAGTCAAGTCATTGACAAAGCTTACAATTTTTGTTAGTTCGATTTAATTTTATACGTAAATTAACACAAGTATAAAAAAAATAAAAATACAGTTTTGCAAAATCTTATATAAATTGAGTTGATTTTTTTTTTTAACTGTGGTTGCTCATATGGGCATGCTAACAAATGAGAAGGCATGGGAAAATTACACGACATCTTGTTATAATATATTTTGTGTGTGAGTGAGTGACTGTGTGTATTAATTTGAAGTTGCCGCACACAATTCAGGTCACACTGGTGCTCGCCTTGATTCCTTGAAGTTATTTTCGAATTAATGGTGAATTCATTTTACAGTTCCCCTTAGATCTTCCGCGTAGGCAAAGGAGTCATGCATGAAGCCCCCCGGCGTTGGAAGATTGCAAACTCCCAACTTTCATGGAATTACATAATTATTTTATTTAAATTTCTGTTTCCATCGGCTATCCTTGCTCTGCTTTCTCTCTCATCCTTACAGCGTGGCTTCTGGTCCATCTCTCCGGTTCCAATTCCTATAATTTACTCCGTCGCCTCAAGGATCTGTTGGTGGATCCTCTATTTACTTTATTTATCTGGTCGCTCGCTCGTGTTGTGGGGCCAATTTGTTTGAGCCTTGCACCCGTCTCCGGAATTCCGCTCTTCATCTTTCTCCCTCGCGAGAGAAGATGACGACCATGACGATGGAGGGAATGATGGACAAGGCCGTGCTGGATGATATCATACGGAGGCTCCTCGAAGGCAAAGAAGGGAAACAGGTCCAGCTCTCCGAGTCGGAGATCCGTCAGCTCTCCGTCAACGCTCGCCAAATCTTCCTCTCTCAGCCCATTCTCCTCGAGCTCCATGCTCCTATCCACATCGGCGGTCCGCTTCTCTTTCTCTTCTCCCTCCTCCTCTTCCGTATCACCATAATCAAAATTAAAGACTCGTTTGTCATGATCGTGAATAAACAACTAGGCTTGACATTGCTGGTCGCATGGGGTCAAAGTTCCGTCAAACAATATTTTGCCTTCCAATGAATCGGCTGCCTGTTAATGAGTTTGAGTTTTGGGGAGGCATGATATTTAATTTCCCCTTTTATATGAATAGGTATAGACAGGATAAAGGTTTGTCAGCGATATGAAGTTGATTCATGGGCGCGGAATTTCATTGGTAACCATGCAAATTGCATCTTTCTTTAAGATTGACTTAATGCCCGTATACTTACTCTAATATAGATTATGATAGGGTACCCAAAAATCACGTGAATCTTGATTTGATGGACACTTTGCTAATGCTTAGAATTTAAGAAACGAAGAATACCTGGAAATGCAGTTTCAATGCCTTTCCAGTTTCATTGTTATGGGGTCATGTCTTGAGGGTCTAACCTTCATTTCATCGGTCATATCTTGGAGAAAGTAATTACATGCATTATGGCACAATTATATGAATCGTGTGGTATAATTTCATCTTGGAGTGTTGTCCTATATAATGTACAAAATCTTGGAATGAGTTATATTGTTCACGGCTTGTAAATACTGTGGCTTATGATAGATTTTATTATTATGGTTGTATACAGATTATATTCAATGCTGAACATTATGCCATTGTTACCTCGTAATGCTTTTCACCATAATCCCTTGCTTCTGGTACTGCAATTCTGTTGCAGGTGATATACATGGGCAGTACCAAGACTTACTGAGGCTTTTTGAATATGGTGGCTACCCTCCTTCTGCAAACTATTTGTTTCTAGGGGATTATGTAGACAGAGGAAAGCAAAGTTTGGAGACAATATGTTTACTTCTGGCCTACAAAATAAGGTACCCCAACAAAATATATCTGTTGAGAGGAAACCATGAAGATGCAAAGATAAATCGGATATATGGATTTTATGATGAATGTAAAAGGAGGTTCAATGTTAGGCTCTGGAAGATATTTTCTGACTGCTTTAACTGTTTGCCAATAGCTGCACTAATTGATGACAAGATACTCTGTATGCACGGAGGCCTCTCTCCAGAATTGAAAAATTTGGATCAGATAAGGGAAATTTCAAGGCCTACTGATGTTCCGGACAATGGTCTTCTCTGTGATCTGCTCTGGTCTGATCCTGATACTAGGATTGAGGGCTGGGCAGAAAGTGACCGAGGCATCTCAAGTAATTTTGGCGCTGATGCAGTCACGATGTTTTTGGATGAAAATGACCTCGATCTCATTTGCCGAGGCCATCAGGTGAACCCCTCTCTTCTTGTGAGTTAATTGAACATGTTACGCATCTTGAGTTAACAGTTTAGCCTGTGCTTGTCTTATTTTTGTGTTTTATCATTATATTCAACAAGCCCTGCCATCAGGTTCTGACCCTTTGCGGAATTAGTTCATTTACAATTCAAAGTCTTTAGTTTTGACTTAAGCGAAGATACTCTGGGCCTTTGGCGACACTAAATTAAGTTTTGCCGCCTTCATCATCCAACTAATCCTGATTCAGTTCTCTGCAAAATACATCTTATAGGTGGTGGAGGACGGATATCTGTTTTTTGCTAAACGAAGGTTAGTCACTATATTCTCTGCTCCAAACTATGGGGGGAGTTCGACAACGTTGGCGCATTGTTGAGCATTGATGAATCTCTTGTATGTTCCTTCAAGATCATTAAACCGATTGACAGAGGTTCGTCAAAGATGAATCTTAAGAAGGTATATATGATCATTTTGCTTTTGTATTTGCAATGTTCATGTGCATGGGAAATCTTAACTTGTTTTTTTTTTCCCCGTCAGCCTTCTAGTTCCAGATCTGGAAGGTCCTAGTTATGTGGCAACGAGCTCGGGTTCTCAACTTTGAGTTTGGCAAAGGAGAGCCTTCCCTAGCGCTACGAGTTGAAGATTGGCGATGATCTAATGGCTCTGATACTGTATTGTAAATTAAAACCTCCTCTGGATTCTTGGTGCGATTATACACCATTTGGTCACTTTTGTTTGGCAATTTAACATGTAGTTTGTGCGAGCAAACAGAGTTCCATGTTTGAGAAAATGTATGTTCGCGAATCACGAGGCTTTTGGTGTTCCCATTTCCTTGATATAAGTAATAATAGTGTTTTGGATTAAAAAAATTCATACATGAGTTTAAAATCAGTTGAAGTTAGAAAAAAAGTTTGTAACTTTAATATAATTTATGTTTGAATATATTTTATTTAAAAGTCAGTTAAATAAAATAAAATTTATTTTAATGATTTAATTTAAAAGTTAATTAACATGTATAATGATAAAAATGAATATGAGTTTTCTTGCATATATTTTTTAACTAATTTGATATTTTTAGGAAAAAAAATATTAAACTAAAATTACAATTTTTCTAAAGAAAAGTATATTACAAATATAAAATACATTGATAAAATTTGAATTAGTTACAAAAATATTCAACATGCTAAAATAAATTCATAAATTATAAAATATTCAATTCTAAAAAGTGAAATAAATTTATAAATAAAAAATATTCGATTCTAATAATTAATTGTGTCTCAACTTTACATCACGACTGTAACATGAAAAAAAGGGTATAAATTTTATTATATATATTATGACTAATTTGATATATTTAGAAATATTAAACTTTAAATAAAAATTTTTTTTACCTAAGTAGAATAAAAAAATTAAAATAAACTGATAAATTAAAAAATATGAAATTTCAAATATTTCGTGACAAAGAAATTATCAACCCTTTTGTTTTACAATTTTTCTCATCAAAAGCTCAAGTGTATCTACAACATGGTCCCCCATGCAAAGCTTCGACATCGATTCACAACTCAAGCCTCACTCCCATTCAGGAGGACAACGGAGGAGTGAAGGACCAATGAGGAGGAGAGAGAAATGCGCCTTGGATTTGAGAAGCTCTTTTTCACTACCTTTGTCTAAATGAGCATTTTTTCTAAAAGCTCTTTTCTACATTTTCTCATTCAAACAAGATTAAAATGTGTAAATGAGCTTTAAGTACTCCAACTGTGGTCCAAACCTAAGTTGAAATGTAAACCAAATACAAACTATAAATCTCGGTTCCTAAAACACCCAACCATGCTCCAAACTCAGAAGGAAAAACATACTAACATCTGAAAAATATGGTGCGTTATCCTGAACTGTAAGAATCATTTTTCCCTTCGTTTTCGTTAGCCATCTTGGTCGATTCAAATCTGGCGGTGCTGCGTCTTAATCTCCCATTCTGCTATTAACTAGAGTTAATCCCGTCAAAAGTTTTATGTTGAAGTCCATAACAAACCAATGTATAGAAAATTGGTCACCTCAACATATCTCCACCCAAAAACAAAACAAAAAAAGAAAATCAACAAAGAAAAGAGGGAGTGACATTTAGTCCGCACATCTCCTTGGAGCAAAGGTGGATAAACAAGTGTTGATTCCCGGGATTCAAAATAACATGAACATGACTATGAATTCGAAACTCATTCTTAAATGAAATCTGAACAATAAAAATTTATTTTGGGCAGTTTATATGTACAATTTTAATTCTTGATTTTTTGAGTAACTATTTATTTAAAACGACACAAGATTAATTAAAAATATAATCAAATCTAAACTATTCAATTTTAATCTAGACACTAAATTAAGAATGAACATCCCATATGAAGATAAGCTTGAATTCTAATTACAAAGTAGCACAAGACAGTTTGTCACAATCGAAATGCCACATAAAAGGCAATACATTTCAAACAAATCAAAATCTTACAAAAATTTTTATATTGAGAATCGGGGGAGTAGTTCTGGTCTGGCATCATTCATTCAATGATTAGAGGTTATTTTTCAGAAATAAAGTTAGCCATAAAACAAACAGGAAGAATGGAGAACGAGATAAAATATAATGCATGTATTTTCGCTTAAGTATCATAAAAACAAACTCAAGATTCACCTACAAAATAGCACAAGTATGATATAAAACATACAAGGAAACATTCATCTTACAAATCTTTTCCTATTTTCTTGAGCACTAGAACTAGAAGGTCGTTGATCCATCATCCTGCCTTCTAGTTTTCTTGCAGTTCGTTTTATAGCTGCCAGCTTCTGGCGTTGGTTATGGCTCTGCCTTTTGCTGCATGATCAGCGTATGGATGTAAGTAGGAAATACATACAAGTAGTCTTAGTGAAAAGACAATACAGACAAAAGTCAGAAATAAAAATATAAAAATCTATATTCTGTCACGTGAGTTCAATATGGTATATCACGTCAGGGGAGGAGAGAGGTGCGCTGATTTCTTTAACAAGCTGTTATATTATAGAGAAATAGCCAGAAAATGGGCATGAAGCAATACAATCAATTGAGGAAGGGTCAAAAATCGTGAAAGTAAATCAAAATAATGGATTATATTACACTTTTTTTTTTTTGGGGGTATGTTAAGTCACACGGAAATGCATATCAAGTAGCTCTCATACACAGGAAGCATTGAAGGCAGTATCCTGACCTCATAAACACCAATCCTGCTGTTAGAACCATCCCTCCGATAGCCCAGGAAATTCTTTCACTTAATGGCATTTGCCTCACCCATTGAGGGATATCTTCAAACACCCTCAATTTGTCACCTCTCTGGGTCACCCCAAACTGTGAAGCCTTCCATGAATCAGCGACTGACTCTAGGCTGGTTGCATCACCATAACAAGATGTTTTTTCGGTGCTAATATATGCATTGTCATATGGTTTCACTTGAAAACCTGCAGCAAGACAAAGATCTGTACCATTGGAGACCCATTCAGCAGCCCTACCACATACAAAGTCATTTACTCCACAAGGTGCTACAATCTGGGAGGTAAAATCAATCCAAAAAATGGATTTTGTCAAGCTTATATAAGGAGACATTTAAAATTTCAGATTCTGGTACTAGAAAAACGAACGAACGAACACACACACTCACACTGACCCCTCAAGTTACTAGATGAAGGTGATTTAAACCCTTAAACAGCATGCCGTTATAAATTATTAAACATATGTGTCCTATCACATGAAGCATAATCTCCTTTTAAAATAAGCACCGTACAAATGAATTAAATTACTGAGATAAAGATTAAAGATAACTTAATTCATGGAAAAACCCAAATCACCTCCTCTTTTGCTAGCATGTAAAGAATTCAAATTCACGAGAAAATTTACCAGAAGGATGGCAAGAGAGATGCCCACATACCTGTGTTTTCACATCCATAGAGAAGTAAGCATTTGAACATGCCTCATAAATTCTGTCACAGAATGATGCACATACGAGGGGGGGTCCAGGCTGAACACCAACGCGTGGATCACATATAGAGCACTCCAGCAATTCCCATAAGCCCAGGCACTCCTGGCTGGCTTCCCCAGTAGACGCAAGCTTCCTTACAGCCAAAAGAGCGGGGTAAGTCTGGGTTATGTCACAGCAAGTTCTTTTGCGAAAAACCCTGCAAAGGGTCAAATCTTTGGGTCCTTTTTTGGGAGGCTTCCCCTCTGACGTGAAGGGTGGAAAACGACTACCTTGAGAAACACATGCTCCATTTGGTTTAGCTGCATTTAAAGAATGAAAGGATTGTGAAACTATTTTGAATATACAAATGCTGTTCCATTAGAAACTTATCAAAGTAGTAGAAAGAAGTTATTCCAGACCCATAATATCATTTTATAAATATTACAGTTACTACATCATAATTTACATGCCTGATCTAGCCAAATTGCCAAAAGCAGGTTGTCCTTGTTGCTAGAAGAATGTGAAAAGTCATAGCATCAAAGAATGTGAAAAGTCAAGCCCTCAAGCCGAGTAGCACAGACAAAGGTAACCAGTATTGGTCCATGTCTGACTTTACGTGCAATGAACAGAGAGGGCAATATAGGTGGTGAGTACATATATGCAGCACAGATGAAAGTCCAGCGAAAATTTGTTTATCCTAATAGATTATGGCTTTATCAATGAATCAAACAAGATTATGGCAACTGACATTTGAAGCATTTGAAAAACCATCTCTAATGTTATCAAAAGCTACAGCAAATGATTGGTTCCTATGAGAAAGCCTTTTTCTCAGTCTACACAAAGAGAAGTAGTAGTTAATGGAAGAAGAAGCAGTGGGATACTTAATCTTTCAACAGATAGACAATCTAGTGGCTGCAATATTCTAACCATCTACATGGCCAGGGATAATAGCTTTAAGGTTCCAATGGTGCCAGAGAATAACTTGGTTTCTGACTAGATACTGTTGTTAAGAATCCCTTCAGAAGCACACGCTTTATCTAATCTTAGATTATGTGATGCCGGGGCGAGTCAGCTTTTCTAATAGACCAGTAACGCCCTAAAAATATCTATATAAGTCAGGCTCAAAAAAGACCAAGAAATTCTTATAACTACTGTAGACGATCCGCTCCCACAAAAGAAATGAAAAGAAAAAAAATAAAAATCAAAAGTAAAGACTTGCCCAGATCCTTAACTACTCAACTACTGCGACACCAAAATTTATATTTCAAATATCTTTCTCTACCTCGGTGTTCATAACACCGGGGAAGAACCGATAGAAAATAAAATTGACTGAGAAATTTGCAAAACTGTAGAAGATAAAACTCTTTAGATGAAGAATCTCACCGAGGGAGTAGAGAAGGAAAGGATGAAAAAAGATCAGGAAAATCAGAAACCCATACTTCATATTGTTCGCTCCGTCCACGGGTTCCAGGTGCGACCGCAACCATGCTGTGCAATTATGGGATGGCCACCATTTAACGGGCTGAACAAGGAGAAAGACTGGAGTCAAAAACCTAACTGCAGGGATTGTAGATCGAATTAGAGACTTGGCCCAAATAGCTCTTCTTCCATCTGCAAACTCTTGAAACAAGAAGTATAAAAATTGCACCAACCAAATTGGTTTAAAAAAAAACAAAGAGATTAAGCATCATTTTTATTTTTAAACTGTATATAAAAATTTATAAATAATTTTAAATTTAACTATAAATTATTTATATTATTCAACTTTAAATATTTTTTATTTGTTTTTTTTGTCCATTTTTTGCAACCTTAAAAAATTTAAAAGTGGGCTCCACAAAGAAAAAAATAAATGGAAAAAGCAGCAGGTGATGAAACAAAAATTTTTTGAGGTTGAAAAATATAAATGACTCATAATTAAATTTGAGATCATTTATGAACTTTCACATATAATATAATAGAAAAATAACCCTTAATTCAAAAAATAATAATGGACCCTTTTATTTTAGCTTTGAAAATTATATTTCTTTGATCCTCTATATAAATTATTTTTACCAATGTCATCAATATTAATATAAAAACATAAAAGAAGTGAAAATATGTAAAATTTTAAGTACTCTTCTATATAACAAATTTAAAAAATAATGGCATATTATTTTTTTTATGAAGAGTAATTTTAAAAATATTTTTTAAATATTACTTATAAAGTCACACTATGACTTATAAATAAAATTAAATAAATCTTCTAAATGATTAGAAATGAGTACTTATTTTTTTAATATGTAAACCCTATTGTTAAATAAATTTAAAATACTGAAAAATAAAAAACAAAGTTATACAGGGTACGATGAACTGTACGGATGGCAATAAATCTGTACGGGAAATACTGAAAAGTAAATAAATAAAAGATTGCACGGGGTTTCATAAGAGCCACACTGCTAACCACTTGTAAATAACGTGGACTGATGGATATTTTATATCTTATATTGACATGGCTTTTGCCAATATATATATATATATATATAAACGATATTTAAATTTGTGCCTAAGATTTAAATAAAAGTTATTAATAAAACATTATTGTTCATGTGTAAACAACAAATATTCAAATGTGTCAGAAACACTGAGTGTTAATTGATAACAAAAAGGATCTCGAGCTCCCTTATCACAATTCACTCGGATGTAAAAGATACGTAAGACTTAATAGAATAAATATTTTTTTATTTTTATTAAAATGTAAAAAGATTACAAGTCTAAATTGAAGGTAAAAACTAACTGCTAAATTTAAAAAGTCATGAGTGCAGAATGCGAATCTTTGTTGAGTGTTGACTGTCCTTTTTTTGTATTTTCGTATTATATTTATAATGTCGGAGTGATGGTAGCATCTCCCTTAAGACCTACAATGTTTTGTCGAAGAATCAGGGATCCTACGAAACTCATGACACGGTCTTGACTCAGTGTTCTCCATTTCTGGCAACCATCTTGTCTCACAAAGATACTTGAGCATGATGATACTGCTCCCGTGGATTCCGAAATCACTTGGAATCATATCTTTATGTTCCAATGGTCCAGTATTTGCAATTGGTGAAATTTCGACAAATTCATCCTATTGTGATCTTTTATTGAGCTTGGAGCCAGCTCCTCCATTTAGATTGGACCTGACTTTTCAATAACTTAGCTCAAATAGCTTTATAACGTATTGAGCGATATTTCATATTTTAACCCAAACAATTATTATAATTTTAAATAATTTTATTTTGAAAAATTTTTAAAACCCCACTCTCAAAATATGTAAATTAATTATATCTATTTTTAAAAAATAAGCTGGAACCTTTTTTTGGTATAAATAAACTCGAGCTTGACTTGTATTAGTTTGCATCCAGAAAAACAAACTATATGAAAAACATTTCCCCCCCTGTTTCGGGGGCCAACCTTTGTTTTATTAATGAGAGTTTCTTATACAACTGATGAGATTAACTGAAGATTTGAGTATTAGTATACCTAGTTAAATGAAACCCTTTTTCCTTCAAAAGCATTTTCTGTTATGATACCTTGAACAGGAAACTTTGCGTTTAAAGTATAACAATTCATCCCCTGATATTAGTAAAGGATACTTCGAGCTTTCGGCACATTCATGTATTTACTTTTATGGCCAAACGGTCAAGGTTATTCACTCCAGTGTTAATTTCACATTTGGTGACGGTGATTAATCCCGTGCAAGTCCCTCTACTGTCATTTTCACCTCTGCAAAGGCATTACCAATAATGGCAATTACAATCTCCAAGCCTGATAACACCCCATCGTTAGGAACTAGGACCTACATTTATAAGCCTAATTAAGAGGTTCTACGATGTTCGTCTTACTGCATCGAATCCCCCGACTGTCCGACAGATGCAAATTCAATCATGTTACGAGTGGGGCCAGCCAGCGGCTTCACCATGAAAAAGACAACACTAACACGAGAGCGATCGAGAAACTACTTCAGATTGTTAACTATTCAGGCCGAAAAACTTACAGGCAGAAGAGAAATCTAGAACAGTACCAACCAACGAAAACTGAAAAGGAAAGGCATCACACACATACACATAATTCTCTATTTAATACTACTCCTTCGGGACACCTACATAGCTCACCACACCTACGCTCCACTCCAGACTTCACAACCCACGGCACCACTTCATCTCATCTAAGCGTGCGCACATCTAACACAAAAATGGATACATCCACCGGCAGCATCACGGATCGAACATCTTCGTGCTTCCGTCGTTGTGAGATACTACTTCTCAGACATCGAAAGGAGGAGAAGGGCTTGATTTGTTCTCGCCTCCCTTCTCGTACGCATCCGATGTCGACCTTCTTCGAAACCGGAAGGGTTCTCTACCCCCTGAAACCAAACAAACGCACACATCACCATTACACACTTTCTTGCTTCTTTTTACGACCTGTCCTTCCTTGAAATCAAGATACGAACACACAACCACAATACCAATCATGAAACATCTACAGTAACTGATGAATAAAGCTGCTTTGTTCTGAGTGCCATTAGATACGATATAACACACCAGATCTGAGTTCGTGATTTCAGTAGAGATTGGGATTGACATGATACACAGACTACACCTGATTAGTATGAATTAAATTGTACCACGGCACAATAGAGAATTAAATTAAATGCCAAATGAACTGTGAGGGTACTCAATTTCAAACCATGACCATTCATAAATGGTATAATTATAACCAAGATGAAATGTATGAAATGACCCCTAAAGTCTGGACTCCAGAGAATATAGAATAATTTATTAGACGAGTATTACTGGGATTCATCTTCTGTAATGGTTTTATTTTCAATGAGATTTAAATTTAATTTGAAGGGTTCTATTAAAAGTTTTATCATTTTTATATATTAATTATTCAGATGTTCTCTATATAATTCAAATATTAATATATAAAATGATAAAAAATTTAAGATTAAACTAAACCATTTAAATTAAATTTAAATCAAATTAATAAAAAAAATTATTAATGTGAATTGATGATCCAAATCTCATTCTATTGATGAGCAGGACTCTGAAATCCAGTCCGGTATAATTGCGCCTGTGCGTGGATATGCCCCTCAGGCAAGTCATAATCCTTCGGGAAAATAAAAAAGTAATAAAAATTAAAAAATGACCATTCTGGCCAGATGCACCTAACACTCTTACCCCTTACTCATCACCCTAATCATCTCAATCCAACAAAAGATAACCACCAGCGCACAATGACAAAATTATCGCCTAAATTAGAGCATTTCATCACGTTAACAAGCTTACAGCAAAGCCATCTATGTTTCAAGTTTCAGCGCAAGCCAATTCCATTTCAGGATCCCACTATACATTCTATTAATGATGGCAAAAAGAGAAAATAATGACCTTACCCGAAAACGGAGAGACCGGCGGAGTAGACCCAGCTGGCGAAACCGGAGGCGAGCCACTCTGGTACCCCGGCGGCTTCACGATCATGATACTACGTGTTACTCTCACCGCGTCGTCCGAGGACTCGTCATACGGTCTCACGGTCCCAGCATCTGACTCTGATAGAAAAAACAGCCCATATATTATTAGCATGTTACTGCTAAACCAGAAGGCACACATACGCTCTAGTCTGAAGCGTTTCCAAAGCTATTATCTCCGGGAGAAAAATATCCAGTTAGATTCTAATTGTTTCAGTGTCCCCGATCTTCTGGTAAAAGCCTCGAGTGACAAAACAATAGATCATTCGGGCTTGAGTTCTTTAAACAGTTAAAATACAGAAATTGATACGCAGTTTAAAAGTCAACAATTTAGAGCCATTAAATTAATTCAATTGCAGGTCAAGTTCTAGTTGCAATCCTCTTAATTTTGATCAGCGAAATAGGCTAGGTAAACTCTACAGCTAATGTCCAGCGCCGGCGGAAGATAGCAAAAGTTTTGCGTACCCTTGCCGGAACTCTCTCGATAACTGAAGGTGTTGTGCTTCCGGAGCCTGCCGAGACCATTGTCCGGCCGCGGCCCGGCAACGGTGTCATCCCACAACTGGTCGAGGAGACCCATGGCAAGCAGGATCAAGCGTATTATAGCAGATCCAGCAAATCGGCTTCCACCTCGGTGACCAGGTTTAGTAATAGAACCTTTAGAAGCAGATGGAAGAGATACTCAACGAGGGCTAGGCTTTAAAGATCGAACAAGTCTTGAGGTGAAGAGCGATCTGGGCCGCTGACTAGAATGCGAGTGGGACTGCGTGACGTGGCAATGGGATCGAGAAGCACGTGCAGATAAGGTTAGGCCCGACCGGGTCCCGATAAGTAGGAGGTATTCAAGACGAAGGGTGACACGTGACATTTTTACAGAGGCGTAAGGTCACGTGACCAGTCATTTTCCAAAGAGATTATTTCGAGGTCCAGGAAACCCCCGACTCTCGTCGGAGTGAGGAAATTAAGCCCCCCCATTTTCCCAGAATTACAAAAGCTGGCCCTATAGGATGATTGAATTATTGAGTGACGAGACTGAGATCGTATCTGCATAGGGGGTTATTTCAAAAGAAGGTGCGATCGAATTCCATTCCACTATAAGACATGAGTCGTGTAAACTATGATGTCAAAAACTCAAAAATTGACAGTCATCGATCGTTGTCCCAAGGAATCGAGACAAACCTAACCCCCCCAATATATGCAGTGTTTGATAAACATCGTGGCCCACATGAATTGATCCGTTCTTTGAGAATAACAAAGAGAGGATGCTTCCCAGTTTTGGTTTAATGACGATGATGACCGCGGTACTGTTTTAGCTTTAAGATTCAGATACACTGTCTTCCTCTCTTTCTCAGGGTGACTAAAATGGGATTAAATTCACACATTCCGTCCCGCGCCCTAAAAACAGGGCACTTCTAATTGTGTTGTTAAAATAAGATGAGAGAGTTATTGGAATGACCTTAAAAAAAAAAATGCAATAACTTTTAAAATTTACCCTTATTCGAGAGCATGAATTCTAAAAAAGTGGAAAGTTTAGGTCTTGAGAAATCTGGTTCAAAGCAACAGGCGATAGGCAAGCATGAGAAAGACTGGTTATTTAGAAGGTGTAAAGTGAAGGTTTTGCCGTCAGTTCGGCCCCAAAAGAAAGTAACAGTAACATGCGGTTGGAAGCATGAAGCCCGCGTTTTTGAGACAATGAACATACACAAGTTGAGAAATGGCGAAAACTTGCATGTTGGCTGTTTGACATGGCCAGTACCATCAATACAGGTTCGGTTGCTTCGGCGATGCGCATTCCATGTATCAGCTCTTATTCTATTAGTTTTTTCCGATTCGTATATTCCTTGTAACTGCTTAGAAAAACATGCTTTTAAATCTGATGCTGTGGCTGAAAAGACGTGAATCCCGAGATAAAGTGGTGGCAGGGGTTCATCATTTTCCTTCTTTTGGTTAGTGGTTCACCATCTTTACGTGAATGTCGAGATAAACATGATAAGATCCATAATGATAAAATATTAAATACAACCGAAAGAAGGTTTCATAATTTACTCTCGATTATAAGCTGAACCAATATTCTCCTATCAAGGGGTCCCCATCCGACCCTAAAATACAGTAAAAGTAGATGGCGTTAAACAGAGGCAACGATTCGGTCGCTTTCTCCTCTTGACGTGTGTTTTTTTTTTTTTTGTCCTTTTGTCTTCCCTCTTGTCTTGCTAGTGTTAGTTTCATGTTTACCCCCACAAATAGCTCCTTGAGACGAGGCGAGAGGGACGTCCGCCACTAGAGGAAGAGCCCGGTGGCCAGTGCCTATCTCCATTAAAAGAATAGACTCGACGCCTAGTTGTGTTTATCCCTTCCCCACCCCAAATTGTCACTTTTCAAGTAGTCTAATGGGCTTCCCATCAACTGGCCCATACAATTTGGGCATCGTTTCTAACCCCAACACCATTTTAAAATGGGCTTTTCCCCAGATGTCCACGACATAGCTCAAGGGCGTTTTACCTGAACACTGGACTGCTGTCCGATATAATCCGATCTAGATCCAGCGAGTTATTTAAATTCATTTACTTAACGAGGATTTCAATTATAATTATTAAATTTCATCAAAGCACAAAATTATCAAGATATATTTTTATTTAAAAATTTATAATAACTCTCATAATTAGAACACATCTTACATATATTTATCCTCACAAAAAAATAGACATTTAGTACTCTATGAGTATTGATGACAAAATTTCTGACAATCATTCCATTAAATTGAATAATTATTATCACATAGCACGAGATACCCATTGAATAAATAGATACATGTCATTCACTTAATCCAAAATGCTAAATAAGAACTGCAAAAAGCCGTTTATCATTTCTCCAGCCAATTATAATCATAATGAAGCCAATTAAAAGCTTGATCCACATTAAACGATAGCTAAGTTAAGTAACTAACAGGGTTCGAGCACCCTAATCTTTCTCTCAAACGAAGACATGCATGCAGTCATTAGTGTTTAAGAGCGAAAAATGGTGATTCTTTGGAAGCTGCGGGTGACGTATATAGTCTTCTTCAGAGTTATCATTGACCAGACATCACCAATTGAGTTAGAACAAAGAGCGGGGAGGAGGGGCTGGCATTTTGGCGGCACAAAAGTGACCAACAAATCTGACCATTATATACGTAACGAGATGTGTGTGGATCTCGATTCTATCCCGCAGTTGAAGAGCCCTCAAGAATAAGATTCACTGGTTCGCGTCAATTTCAGGGTCCCATCTATCAGTCTCCCTCCTGCAACTCCCACTTTCCACCCCAAGAACGTGCCCTTCACTGTCGATAACCACAATATTTTTACGGACAGATATTTCTTCACTGTCAAGCATTCCTTAATTATAACACAATAAATATATGCACAGATTTTTCATAATCTACCATCCAGTTTCTCAAACATCTTTCACATTACATTTTTATTTTATCATATAATAACTTGGTAGCATACAAAGCGTGAGCAACTTCATCTAATTAATGAAATGGCATTGCATTAAATTTATGGATTATTGGGGGGGAAGAACCACAGTCAATGCCCTTCTAATTGACGGGTATGGCCCCTTTATAACTCCGAACTGTTGCACAGTGCAGAGTAGCTCGAGAGGTTGCTTCTTTCGCTCCGACGAGTCTCAAAAGAATGTCCACTTCCAGACTCAAAGTTTTAAATTTTCTTCAACTCGCACTTATCACTTCTTGTAAACACTGTATTTTATTCAAGTTTTCAAACATAAATTAAAAATTAATAAAAATATAATAAATAAAATAAAGAAATAAAAAAGGAGGGGCTTTTGTGATACTAATAACAATAATTTTTTTTACCCCAAATTTCCTTAGTTATGTTTCCATTAACGTTAACTTTTTTTAAAAGAAAATTTAAAATATTTGAAATTTAATTTGAGAAAATTATGCCTTGATTGAAATTTGTTTTTAACTAATTAAGAAAAAAATTTAAAATTTAAAATAATAAAAAAGAGTCAAAATAGAAATTGCATTTTTTATTTGATTCTATGTAAGTGAACCCTAATTAACACTTAGAGATCGAGAAGAGATTTGAGAGAAGGGATGGAGGAAAATTTGGAATGAAAAAACATGGACGAAGGGACAATGAAGCAAAGCATATAATAAGTTGTCAAGTGCATTGTTATGATACGTATATATTCTTCTTCATTTGTGCCATCTATGTTTTTCATCTCTAATGAGTAGCCCCTACATTTTCCTTCCTTCAACAATAAATTATTATGCTCAAATGAATGCTGCAAAGTACGGGTTAACATGGAAATTCATTAAGGGCGGAGCTGACATAGGTTTCACATATTGTGTATGATTTGTTTCTTTGTTATTACAAAATAAAAATCTGAAAGTGTGGCCATTAAGATCGCTTGAATGATGAAGAAAAGTCATGGGGGTTGCTGACATAGAAATTATGGAAATTGCTTTTCTTTTATTCTTTTGATGGCTATTGATTATAAAATATATTGATAAAAATGCTTGTGCTTTTACTTAGGTTAATAAGATGAGAATATAATTTTTTAAATCTCTTCCTACTTCATGGTATTGTCAATAATAAGAGGAGCAAAGTGTGATTTTTAAATTAATTTATGATTACAACTTTATTAATTTTTCATAAGTGATATTAAATCACTGTGAATTTTTTAAAAATACCAAATATGATACCTTGAATGATACTAAATCACTATAGGTATCCAATTTTATATTTAAAATTTTAAAATTAAATTATTCTATAAAAAAATTAACTTTGAAATTTTCTTTAAGGCTTGTCACGAGTAATACTAAATTACCGCGTACACATCAAAGCATTAATTAGTGAACTGTGAGTGATACTAGATCACCACAGATTCCAATATTTATTAAATTTCCCTCTCTTATGCATTATTAATAAAATAATGAAAACTTTAGCATATTTTAGGTTATCCCATGAGTGATATTAAATCACCATAGATTTTTAAAAGTATCAAATGAGATACCATGAATGACACTAAGTCATCGCAAGTATTTAATTTTATATTTAAAGTTTCAAAATTAATTTATTTTATAGTAAATTCACTTTGAAAATTCCTTTAGAGTTTGGCATGAGCGATATTAAATCATCGTGTGTACTTAGAGTGTCAACCAACGAACTGTGAGTAATACTAAATCACTGCAGGTATTACTAAATCACCGTAAGTTTTAATATCGATTATTTTCCTTTTATCCAAAGGGACATTATTATGTCAATTTTTATTTAAAAATAAATATAATTATATAACACAAAATAATCTTCTCTTTATAAAATAAATTAATAAACATTTAAAAGAAAACCTAAATAATAATATTTCAAACTACATTGATTTTAATCCCTATCACAGGATATGTAGGCCTTAAATTTTAATCCTAGGTCAAGTCCTTTCATGTAAATAAATAATTTATTTTTTTATCTTTATTTTTCATGTGCGATAAATGATAACTAAGATATTATTAAAAGGTCATTAATTTTACACAATCAATTTAGGGTAATTGTTCTTTTAAACGGATGTCGTAAAGTGTCTAATACCATCTCCATATACAACCGTCTTCTGAACCTTATTTTAATTATCATAAATTATTTTATATTTTAAAAAATTTTTAAAATTATCTTTTAAAATTTTGGTGG